CAATTATATTACTGTGTTCATAGTAAAATAAAAACAGTGATTTACATAAAAACACCATGAAAACATTGTAATCAGATTCTCTGCGATTTTTTTATACCATTATAAATCTTTAAGGCACGATAAAAGAAAATAAGTCATTCCACTTTTCCTGTGACAGGCATTATCATGATTTAACAAATCATAAACATTCTTAGTTAAACAACAAATGAATCACGAACAGAAGATATTGCTCTGTCCATTATCTGATTAAGAGAACTGAGAGGTTCTCTTCCACTGTGAATGACCTGTCATGGCCTAAATAGAGTTCAGTTTGTGACAGAGTTCCTGTCCTCTCGTCAGGCCTGTCCGAGGCCTGCTTCGAGGCAGTAAATCTTGTTTCTTCACTCAAGGTGACCCCTACAGTATAGTCAAAGAGCAATTGTCTACTGGAATAGCATTTCAGGGCATTAGTGCATACAACTGTCTCGTAAGGTGCAAAGACTCTTCATTAAAGGAAAAGGTACTTCAAAAATGTATTTTAAAATGCATTTGAACTGTTTAGCTCTTTTAAAGCATATAACTTCATAGTTCTAATGTCTTAAGTATCCCAAGAATRTATGAATAGATTTGTCCAGTCTCTGTGTTAGTCATATATTGATACAGTCATATTATTAATACAGATACAGATTCTTAAATTCATGTAATGTTCACATGTATAAAATAATTAAAAATGCCATACCTGGCTGACCAGGCCAACCATTTTGTCCTTTCCTTCCTTTTGGTCCAGGAAGTCCAGGTGAACCCTGTACTGATAACCCAGGTAGACCAGGATTTCCAGRAAGGCCAGGATGACCAAACCCTGGTAAACCTATAGTTCCTTTTTCACCAGGCAAGCCATTAGGTCCTTGAACGGAGAAGAAATAGAGAGAGAGTTGTACAAAATGTGAAAAATGGAAGAAAAAGAAAGTTAGAAAGATGATATTCACATTTATTTGTCATTTTATGTGCTCTTAAACTAAAACTATTATTACATAACTTTATTATCTAACCTGGATGTCCAGGATAACCATCTGTCCCTGGTGGTCCCTCTGGCCCAGGTAAACTTTGGCATGGCTCTTTGCTTCCAGGCAGCCCTGGAGGGCCAGTAGTACCTTTAATTCCTGCATAACACAATGTGGACAAAAATACAATTTTTTTCTTGAAAATTACAGTACATGTCTAGATCAACTAGAACGAGCAAACACRATCTGATTGTGCATTTTACTGTTTTAGTCTGTGGCTGATCTGTCAGTACCTTTTTGTCCTGGAGGCCCTGGGTTCCCAACTGGTCCTGGTTTCCCAGGAAAACCAGGAATTCCAGGATCGCCTTCTGGCCCTGGAGCTCCTTCTTCACCTGGAGGCCCAGGGGGACCAGAGGGGCCAGTATATCCRACACCACCATCACCCTAAAACATGCGTATATGCATGATGCTGTTACTACGGTATGTGTTGTTATGTTTCTAGTTACATTCTCAGCACAATCAAATTTGTACAGTTTACCTGTGCWTTTCAGCCACTTCAAGCTGAACAATGCTGTAAACACTGACAATTACTGTCTCAWTCATGAATTTCATTGAGTGCTTCTTACCTTCTCTCCAGGAGGACCTGGAGGGCCTTCTGGACCAGATTGCCCAGGTAAGCCCCTGCCTGGAATACCTGGAATACCTGCCTGCCCCTTATCACCTGAACAACCACATACATGAYACATTAATGACATTTTAATATGAATTTTTATTATTTTTATTTTACCATTGTTTAACCAGGCAAATCATTGCATATCTCATTTTCATGTGCGGCCTGGGCCTGAAGGCAACTTATTGTACTGTTTTTTGGGGTGTGGGGGAAACTGGAATACCCAGAGAAAACCCACTAAAGCATGAGGAGAACATACAAAGTCTGCACAGAAAGACCCCAGGTCTGAACCAGGGATCAAATCCAGGACCTTTTTTTTGCCATGAGGTGTTGGCGCAAACCACTGAGCCATTGTGCTGTCTTCATTATAATAATGTAACTTTTGTTTTTATTTTTTTTTTACAACAAAAGCAATCTGTTTTTGTATGCTTAGTGTAATACCTTTAAAACCTGGGAGCCCTGGACGTCCAGGAATTGACACTTCACCTCTTTCTCCTTTTTGCCCTTCAAAACCTGGTGTTCCTGGGGTACCTGGTGCTCCCTGATACCCTGAATCATCGTTGATAYGTACGAAAATACCTCATTTTCTGTCAGATATGAAAATATTACCAATAATTAAAAAAAATCACCCAGCCAGTCAGTTAATCATGCTCACCTGGACTTCCTGGTAAGCCAGGAAGACCTTTAAATCCAGGTGGTCCTGGAGGCCCTTGAATATGAAAATGACTAGGTTCTCCTTTTTGTCCTGCAAATTAAGCAGACGTAGAGAAATGCGTATAGGTTCATTTGTATTTCTAAGTATGTGTCTTTCAACATTTTGAAATAATCAGTGTGTTTCCAACCTGGAATTCCAGGCTGTCCAGGGAAGCCAGGTACACCAGTGTCTCCTTTAATTCCAGGAGATCCAGGAGGTCCATATCCCACTGGTCCAGGGTAGCCAATCGGTCCTTGTATACCAAAAGCCCCTGGTAGACCTGGAGATCCAGGGTCTCCTTCCACTCCAGGAAGAAGATGCTTGAGAAACAGACATTACTCACTTAGAAAAATCATGAACATGAAACTCAGTTGAAATGAAGTCAAACATGACTCTCATAAAGTAAACAAAATATATGTTAAATTTAAGTTAGTCCAACTCTTTACCAAATCTCCAGGTGGCCCTTGAGCACCTTTGCGACCTGGTAATCCAGGAGACCCAGGGAAGCCATCAGCACCAGGTCTTCCATGATACCCCGGATCTCCTTTTTCCCCTTTTAAACCAGGCAAGTGATAGGAATAAGARTCTCCCTTTGGTCCTGGAGGACCTGGTAAGCCTTTTGAACCAACCAGACCCTTAAGAAGAGAAGTGTTTTAGTTTGAATCAATTGTTTAAAAATAAAACAATATTAAAATAAAACAAGGAAAAGTTGTTTTATATATATATATATATCTGAACAAGGCTCATTAGAAATATCTCAAAAGATGAATCCCTACTAACATAATGATTAAATTGCCAGTGACACTGTAACACTGAGGTATTTGACTGAAGGTCATGAAACATTCTGTTAAAGCTCAATTTTATATGAAAACTTCTGAAATTATAATAAAGTAAGTCTCCTAACAAGGTTCCGTTTTGAAAATAATAATATTACCCACCTGGCAAACCTGGATCACCAGGTCTCCCTGGTAGTCCTGTTCCTCTGCCTGAAGACAAGAGAGAGAGATAAAAAAATGATAGATGACGTTTGATGGCAGAAAATGTGAAAAAAAAATGGGTTCATGACATGCATTGAGTAAACAAGACAAGTTTTTTTAAACATGATATTTCTTACCACTGTCCCCTTTCTGCCCTGGAGGCCCAGGAATTCCATCAAGACCTTGGTTACCTTTAGGACCAGGAGTCCCAGTTCTACCTGGAAGACCTGGGCTACCTGAAGCAAAACCAGAACTAATGTTGAATTTGTACCTTATTACAGGGAAAGCTTTGTGGTTTACCTTCATTTCAGAAACAAGAATTTATTGTACCTGGCAGTCCAGTAGGTCCTGGGTATCCTTTGACTCCAGGAGATCCATCTGAGCCTTTTGAACCTTGGAAGCCTGGAGGGCCTGGAACAGTAGGAATTAAACAAGAGTTAGAATAAAACAGAGAACAAAAGTGAAAGAAAGATGAAAGAAGAGTCTCCATAAAATACATCACAAATTGCCTAAATTCAATGACTGATTAGAATTAACCATTTTGTCCAACAGGTCCTGAGTTTCCTTTGGCTCCATAGTTTCCTGGGACACCCTGTGGTCCCTCAATACCAGGTTCCCCTTTCGGACCTTTCATCATGATTAAACTGCTTATCCCTGGTTCACCCTGAGGGCAAAATAGAAACAAAAACAGACAGCAGGTTGTTTTAAAGTTTATAAACTTTTTGAAAATTTATGAGGACTGATCAGAAACATTTTGGTGATGGTGCTCATCCACTAAAGTACTGCCTTTTGTCCTGTTGGTCCAGGTGGACCATATCCATAGCTTGACTCCCCAGGAGCTCCTTTGTAACCAGTTAGACCTTGAACACCATTTGCTCCGGGTATTCCAAGGATTCCTGGATCACCTTTTATTCCTTTATGTCCTATAAAGAATTAAAACATCTGTATGACTTTTATGCAACAATTTTTCTCTGGGTACATTTGAATAAAAATCTATATATAGTCCTATAATATTTCACCACACTGTTAAGTTCATAGAGAAACATGGGTAATGGTAGGGGAAGTGCTGCTTCATTTTAATTGCTAGATAATCATATCCAAATTGCACTTTTATGAGTATGATTTTAATCATAGAATTACTTGGGTCAAAATTCTTCTCTTTTCATGTCTTTTTACTTTTTTCAACCTAATTTCACAAAACATGCAATGGCATTAGACGGAGATTTTGAATCTATAAAATTAAGTTTCAAAGAAGTGAAGCCCTTAACACAAAAAGTAGGTTTTACCTGAATGACCTCTGGGCCCAGCATTTCCCGGGGGTCCTGCAGGACCTCGAGTTCCTTGGGACAGCACTTCTCCATCAAGACCTGGTTCACCAGGAGGACCTTTACACATAGAGTTACACAGGATGTACTCAATACATTTTCATAAAATTTACAAGATAAAGTGATGACAAACTGAATAATACTAAATTCAAACCTCTTAGCCCTTCAATCCCAGATAATCCTGCATTTCCTTTCTGCCCCTTTGTTCCAGTTCTACCAGGATCTCCACTAGGACCAGGCAAACCAGGTTGTCCTAACAGAACAACATTAAAGTACTTCAACCTGCTGTGTAATATAGAGTATTTTAAATAATGGAATAAAGAATTTCAAGATCTTCATAAATTATTTTGTTTAAAAAATCATTTTCTACAAAACATACTGANATATATACGTATATATATTCACTTTCTTACAGGTTGTCCAGATAAACCTGGAGGTCCTGGAAAGCCTGGATCACCTCCTTCACCTTGTCCTGGATTAGTGCCTGAGTGACAACATGATTATGGCTATTTATTTGCTCCAAGTATTTTTATATACTCCAATAGCAAAGTAAAAGTTTATTGACATAAAATGTGAGCTTTCAAGCATGGAGTAAATTGTACCAGGAGGGCCAGGTGGACCGCGGGGACCTGGTGGCCCTGGGAGACTTAATCCACTACATTCATAACAAGGCTCTCCTTTCTCTCCTGATAAATTCAATGCAGACAAAGAAAAAAATATATTCATGCGTCATGATTTAATGTATAACCATAATGTACTCATGTGAATGTCAACAAGCTATGTAAACTGCCTTTATACTTAATGTACATTTTGTAACAGTCTATCAAAAAGTGATACTAAAGTGAAACTTACCTTTCTTTCCAACAATCCCATCATATCCTGTTGCTCCAGGCAAACCTTTCAGTCCTTTCATTCCAGGGAGGCCCTTTGTAATTCTGTTAGCTAAAATCCAAAAATTTTCCAAATTAAGGTCTTCCAAAATTACCACCTTAAATATTTTTTTTAGCTGATTGTAAAAAACAGATCATTTTTACGGAGCCTACGAGGGGACATGGGAGATTTTTTTTTCTTTTGCGTTCCCACGCAATAGTATTGCGTTACCTCGCAATACCTTTTGCATTCCCTCGTAAAAGTAGTTTATCACTGTTGTGCCTGCTGGTTTATTACCAAACTCACATGTTCACCATTAGCGACTTAGCCTACTGCTTTAATTCAGCTTTAGAATGAATATATCACACATTCACGCATGGAAGTATGTCATATGCCGATATTTTAACACAGTGCAGACACGCAACACCAATGCCAATTTCAAGAACTTGAGGTGACACATCCTGATTTGGTTACCGGATATTTCAAAATAAAAGTCAGATTTAATTCAGTTCATATACAAAACAACCTTTTGCGTGGGAACGCAAAACAATATTGCGTGGGAACGCAAAAGTATTGCGAGGGAATGCAAAACAATATTACGTGGGAATGCAAAACAATATTGCGTGGGAACGCAAAAGTATTGCGAGGCAATGCAAAAGTATTGCGTGGGAACGTAAAAGGAAAAAAATCCCCCCGTGTCCCCTCGCGGGCTCGTACATTTTCACTTGCACATGAACAAACGTAAAATGACAACAAGAAAATATCGAGAGTTGTTTTGCAATTTTTTTTTCATATTTTGGCTATGACATACAGAGACAAACTTGTATGAAATGTTGGAAAACGTTTGTGGTAAAATAAACAAGACTTAAAAAAACCTGATAATAAAATATTAAATGATTAAATGATCCATGCAATTAAACTGCTTTAATATATTAGAACAGAAACATCAATCATTTTCTTGTTTTCTCAAATATTTATTGAGAATAAACTTTTGCTTACTTCTGTCTTCTGGGGGTCCAGGTGGGCCTCGTTCCCCAGCAGGCCCTTGATCACCAGGATCACCATCTAGACCTGGAGGACTACTGAAAATATCTGCAGAATCCCCAGGGTCTCCTTTGGGACCAGGGAAGCCTGGAGGGCCACGTGGGCCTGGCAAGGAAAACCCTAATGTATCGCCTGTAAAAGGCAAAATAAAACACTATGATTAAATGACTAACATATTGTCAAATTAACATTTATTTTTCCTAATGTGGATTTTTCAGTGTTATAAAAGCAGTGTTAGGGATAGAATGGTAAGAAGACAGATTATTGGAGTGAAAATATATATTGTTTCTTTGTTCACCTGGAGGTCCAGGAGGTCCAGGAAAACCAACAACACCTGAGAAAACATTGGTGCTATTTCTGTAAATGCACATTCACTGCAATAAACAAACATTATATAACAAACACCACTACAGTAAAAGAAAAAAAAAGTTGCTACAWATGTTATGGTTGATGATGAATTATTTGTTGATTCCTCTGTTTTGTTATAGAGCACAGCATTTATCTACCTGGATGCCCAGGGAGACCAGGAAGACCTGGTGGACCAGGGTCTCCAGGGTATCCTTTGAGTGACTCTGGTGCAAAAACCTGAAAGTGACAGCAAGAGACATGCTTTATTGTATTTATTTAATTATTTTTTGTTTGTTCAAAAAGTCCAAATATATAAAAAAGACATTAGAATAAAACTTACATCTCCTGGTGGACCAGAAGGGCCTCTATTTCCCTTCTCGCCCTAACATGTAAATGACACAAGTGAAGATCAGTCCAGATAGTTTTAAGTTGCAGACAAGTAGACAGGCAGAAGCATAAATACTGACTGACCATTCCTCCTGGTAGTCCTGGATGTCCTGGATCACCTCTGGAGCCAGGCCTTCCCTAAATAAAGCTGTACTATTTAAATATTTTACCTGAAACAGTTTGCTAATTTTCTTCACAGAATTGAAACAATTACCCTGAATCCAGCTAATCCAAAATTACCGTCCTTCCCTGGCTTTCCCTGTAAAAAAA